ATGGTTCATAACTAATAATAAAGTAATAAAGCTATGCTCATGGCAAAAATGCCTAGGGAAAGGAATGGGACAAGAGCAGGAAATCTGGACTAGCTTTTAAAAAAAAAAAGATTTAAAATTCGAAGACTATATGGAAAAATTCAGCTTAAGAAATAACGTGAATCATGACTATTTGTATGTGTTGAGTGTTTACCCTGTGCTGAGTGCTGTGCCACGTGCTTTGTGTCAGTTTTTAAATTTCATCCTCAGAGCTCCCTACGAAGCAGGTGTTTTATTATCCCTATTTGTTAGACGAGAAAGCTGAGGCTTCAGAAGGTGTCTCACAGGGTCATTCAGCCTCCAGCAAGTAGGGAAAACAGAATTCCTACTCACACGGTCAGCCTGTGAGCGGTTGCTCTTGGTCATTTTTCTTGCCTCATACATCACTCCTTCCCACAGCAGAGGTCACAGCCTGAGAGCCAGCAGGCCAAATCCAGCCTCAGGTAACAGTAGCCACTGTTGAGCAGTTACTGCATGTCAGGACTATTTTATGCACCTTCATTATTCCCTCATTTCACCCTCAAAACAACTCCCTGAAGTGAGGTAGCTGTTATTATCCCCATTTTACATACGAGGAAAACTGACATTCAGATGAAGTGGTGTGTCCCCAGTGTTAGAGGGGCTGACACCCAACTCCAGGCAGTCTGGTCCGGGAAGCCACTCTCTTATCCATCGTGCTAAGAAATGCAGTTGTCCGACAACATTTTAAAACTGAGATATTTCACACTACAGGTAAAGATGTCTCACACCTCTTGGAAAACAAAACAAGACAGAAGAGTGGACAGTACTGGTTCCCCTCCAGCTGGCAAATGTGGGTAGCTGCTCATGGTAGAGGGCTATCTCGCACACCACCCCTACCTTTCACTGCTTTACTTACTCGTTACTCACTTGGACTTTGAGGGGGGCATTTCAATTTGCATTTTGGGTCTGAGGTCTTCATGGTACTGGAGCTGCCTCAACAGGGGCCTGTTGTACATGTTTTGTTGTTCGGCTGTCCAAGCTGTTCGGTGCTGACAGCATCCCCCCAAAATGACAACAGATTCCTTCCTGAAGTCTTCCTCTGTCCCCTTCCCCTAGAGAAGGGTATTCTGCTACTCTAGTATTGGCACCCAACCCAGTGGGGAGCAGGTGAGATTTATACCCTTCTCTCTCTCTGCCTAGTTGATAGCACTCTGGTGATGTTTGGTTGGCCATAACCAAGCTAGTAACAGCATCTCCAAGCTTTGGCATACAGCTTGGTAGGCTGTCGTGTGACCCGGAGACCCCTAGGCTCTGTACATGTCAGCCTGAAATACAACCTAACACCCAGAAATGAAGAGAAAGATTTTCGCAAGTACATGCATCCTTCACAAACCAGAGATTTATGTATTGAACAGAGCTTTTCTAAGAACTCAGTCTTGATGATTTGTTCTGTGTTGGGCCAAACCAGTGTATTATTGTTAAGATAATGAGTGGCATTCACCCAAGGGTAATCCTTCCAGGGATTTTGATGATGTAGTAAATCATGAGTGTAAAGCCTGAGTGGTTTATGCCATTAAAACCTCGAGATAGAATTAGACTTGTAATCACCACTTGCCCATGTTTTGTCATTTATGATAATTATAGTAGTAATAATCCGTGTATTGTTAAGAAGTAGCAGTCAGAAGCATCCATCAATTTTTTATCGACACCAAATCAAGTTGATACTTCATCTTTGCTGCAAAAATGTAGATTGCACCAATTAGTCTAAAGAAATTGGGCAGTCATTAGCAATGAAGTAAGCAGTTAATCTACAGAATATTTCTGGTCCTTCTGATGCCAACAATCCCTCTTAATTATGCGAAATATCATGAGCATCTTTGGGACTCTGTCAATAGTGCCATTGTTGGCTTAGATTAGAAGGAACATCCATGTCCCTGCTTTTATTTAAAAGAATGCACTATTACCTCCCAGCCCCCACCTTGTACCCTTCTGCGCTTCCAGGCAAATTTATTCTGAAGCAGAACACTCAAATCAAAGCAGTTGGCATTTTCTTTTTCTTATTTAGAAATGGGGATTTTCCCCAGTGGGCTGCTTTCAGGGATGGTGCATTAACTCACCATCCCATACTTGTTAACTATTCTTGTTCACCTTACCCAAATTGTGGAATAATCATCTCCTTAAAAAGGAAGGAAGGAAGGAAGGAAGAGAAGGAAAGAAAGGAAAAGAGAGAGAGGAAGAGAGAGAGAAGAAAGAGAGACAGAACTAAAAGAAGAGGGAGTCAAAATTTAAAAGAAAATCCAACTATTTGTGAAGAAATCCTGGTGCTAATGAGCTTTCTACATCTGCCTCCAGTCTTTTCCCCAGGCTATCCCAATCTCCCTCTCTAGACATTTTCAGTCGTCATTGCCCATAAATTGTACTAAGCAGCTGAATAATGTAGTGTGGAAATTTCGAATATATGTATTTTTTTTTCTATTTAGGAAGTATGGAAAAACAAGACTAGGAAAGAGGGAACTCATTTCTAACCTCCAACCATGACATCAACCTCTATAAGTGTTTTTTGATAGATTTTATTCCAAACTCTTAAACATACACCTATGTTGAGATTATTTGTTGTTGTTTTTGGTGTTTTTACTACATTTGGTCCTTGAACAATGCAGGGGTCAGGAGTGCTGATCCTCTGCACAGTCAAAAATACCTATATAATTTTTGACTCCCCCAAAACTTAATAGCCTACTGTTGACTGGAAGTATTACCAGTAACATAAACAGTTGATGAACACATATCTTATGCGTTACATTTATTATATACTGTATTCTTATAATAAAGTAAGCTCTAAAAAAATTCTAAGAGATCATAAGGAACAGACTTATAGTACAGTATTACATATACCAAAAAATAAACCACATAGAAGTGGACCCATGCAGTTCAAACCCATGTTGTTCCAAGAATCATCTGTAGGGCAGCCCCGGTGGCACAGCGGTTTAGCACCGCCTCCAGCCCAGGGCATGATCCTGGAGACCCTGGATCAAGTCCCACATCAGGCTCTCTGCGTGGAGCCTGCTTCTCCCTCTGCCTGGGTCTCTGCCTCTCTCTCTCTGTGTGTGTCTCTCTCATGAATAAATAAATAAAATCTTAAAAAAAAAAAAAGAATCGTCTGTATAATGGGGCACCTGGGTGGCTCAATCGATTAAGTGTCCAACTCTTGATTTTGGAGCAGGTCAGCATCTCAGGATTGTGGGATCAGGCTCTGGGCTGGGTATGCAATCTGCTTAAGATTCTGTCTCCTTCTCAGACTCTTCCTCTGCCCCTTCCTCCCCCACAAAGAGTCAACTCTATGTATTATTTTTTTTACTTGTCATAATAATTTTTTCACTTTACTAACAATTTCAGTAACCATTTTATATGTATAAATAGTACTCCATCAAGTTACAAATTACAAAGAAGCTTATCAATTTTGATCCAGTATTTCACTTTTTACCTCAGGGAAATAATCCAAAAACATGGAGGAAATATATACTCTACTCTGGATTTAAAGGAGTACTATTTATACATGTAAAATGGTTACTGAAATCCTGAGGTGCTGACCTGCGCCAAAATCAAGATAAGCTTCTTTGTAATTCTCGATAGAAATTGCCAAATTGGGCTCCAAAGGATTTTGAAATTTTAAATTTTAAAAACCTCACCAGTAATATATACAGATACCAATTTAATTTTAGTGAATGAGATTTAAATTCAGATGTGTTGGCATGCTTGTATCTAAGCTAAAAATATAAATGGTGCTCTTCCATAATTAGCTAAAAATGTGAATGTTACCTCTCCATAAGGGACAAATGGGTACAGTATCAAATTGTGCTCTGACAACAACTTGGCTTAAACAAAGGCAATTATGATCTCATGTTACAGGAAGTTCAGAAATAGGACAGCTGTCTGTGTGATATGATCATAGGCCCAGTGATGTCATGAAGACCTGGATTCCTCTCTTTTAAGCTCACCATCGTAACTTCTACCCTTATATTGGCTTCCTTCATGTTTCAAATGGCTGCAGCTGCTCCAGGCATTGCATCCAGATGTTGAAACAGCAAAGATGGAAAGAGACCAACTCTTCCAGGGCTTCCTTCTCAAGAGTGAGGAAATCCTTCCTAGAAAATTCCCTGTTGACCTTCTTTCCAGTCTCTCTGCCCAGATCTGGGTCAGATGTTCACTGCTAAACCATTTACCAAGGAAAACGGAAACACCATGATTGGCTTTATTAACTAAGATTTGCTTCTGAGCTGGCAGTGGCATCCGTTTTCTCTGAGTTGAATGCATGAATAAAATAGCTCTGTTAGCAACAAAGAAGAAGGGAATGGTTGTTGGGGAGGTAACCAGTAATCTCCCAAGACACCCTAAGTTTTTTCTTCAGTCTCTGGCACACTCTTAGAACAATTTAGAATGCTATAGTAACACTTTATGCATGTAATGGTTGTCTGCAAGATACACACAAGCCCTGAGCGTTGGTCTCCGTGTAAGGTTCTCATGTACTGTGACCATGCTTTGTATTTCCCTTACGTTTTGCTTAAAATCTGTCTCAGTACTGTGCACTGGAGATAAAAACCAGGACCTCCCCTCTATTTTCATAAACCTTTGGTATATGGGTTTCATATGGAAAAGAAGTAGAACTGGCTTTCCTGTTTGAGAATTACTGTTTGGTAGAGATTTGACATCTAGGAGCGCCACTGTCAGGACTTCGGCTGGGACCGAAGGTTTACACCCTGATGAAGCAAGTCTCGCTTTCCAGTCTGTATTACTCAGGCTCTGTGCGTCTTACTCCACTGCACAGCCCAACATTTTGAATGTTGAATTGCCCATTAGCACCACCAGTGAAAGACCAGGAAAGGGGAGGGGTGGGGTTGAGGAATTTATACCAGTCAAATACTTCTTGTTGTATCTAATTGGAGAAAGGGTTTGAAATCACCACCTCAAAGAGTGTTTGAAAATAATTTACTTTATTTCTCCATTCTTTTTCCCCGAATTGTACAAATTATTAGCATTACATTTTTCATTAAAAAAAAAAAGAGAGAGCAGCAATGTAAGAAAACATGTCCCTGGGTTGAAAAAACAGGCCTAGCTACTACATGCCACAAAAATTCAGTACTATTTTACATTTCATGTACATAGTTGAATCATAGGGTACAGATACTATCTTCTTATTAATGCCTGACTTGCAAGTATTTTTTGGCAGCAGAGATAATCAAGGTGATCTTGGATCAAACCTGCCCATTCTTCAGCCAAGTAGATGAAAACCCAAAATACAACCATTTCCTACCATGCCATGATAGAGTCATTGCTTCAGTTGTAATTCTGGATGAAGACAAAAAAAAAAAAAAAAAAAACAAGATGAAACAAAGGAAAAAAACTCCACCGACTGTACTTGTATACTTTTTGTTTTAGTTTGTAGGGATTTTTACAACATAATTACATGTTCTAATTATGAGATTACATACATTTCTACCACTTATATAATCAAGTGTAATTATACCAACTACTTGGGCAGACAGTGATAAAAAATTACTTGAAGAAGCAAAAGTTATATGTCGAAGTGCCATTTCAGAAAGGCTTTTGGAGCATATATGCCACAGATCCCAGATGAAGGTGACACAATAGCCTCCGATAGCTTACTTTTCATAGGTTATGGCATCGAGAATGACTCACATTATTTTGAAAGTTTGGTCTTTTTAAAACTGTCTTTCAAACCTAGCACCCATGTTATATACCTTCTCCACTTGTGCAGAAGCTGGTTGAGCTCTGAGTTTGTCTCCTCCTTGCCCTCACCTTCTCTCCCCCCCCCACCCCCGCACTTCCTGCTTCCTACCCTTCCATCCTTCTTTCCTCTTCCCTACCCCTACCTTATATCTAGGGACTGGGAGAAACAGTAGGCTAATGGGGACAAATGGAGTGGATTCTTGGGACATTATTTCCCACTCGAGTAATCCTTGGATCCAAATGTTTGAAAGCAGCTGGTTTAGAAGAGTTAACGTCATCCTTAAAATTGTCTGATTCCTCGGATGGTGGACTAGATATAGAGTCATAGTCCATTGGGTTTCATGGCCTTTAGGAGCATTTTTAGCATGATGTCGTTGTTGTGTAAGAGAAACAAAATAGAGGAAAGTAAACACTACAGCATAAGCAAAATTAGGAACTTTTAAAATGAAGTATTATGTTACAGACAGTTCCTGAGAAACAGCATGCTATTTATTATAATTGTTTCTTTCATCACTGAAAACAAAGTGTATTGAAAGGGTAATTTTTCTGCAAGTCAACTCCTTTCCCTCTGATGTCTTTTCAAGACTTTCTTTTCTTAAGCAAAATGTCTTAAAAATAGAATTGTAAAACTCATTTATTTGTGGACTACCTTAACACTGCTAGGACTTCTCCAGAGGCTTTCCATCACTTCACATGTTAACTCATTCTTGATTAAAAATAAATGAATAAAATTCCTAATCACCTGTCCTGAGTTTACAATTCAAAGCAGTTTTTTTTTTTCTTTTTTGGACTAGCTAGTCATGTTCTCCTAAGGACAGCGTCTTTGAGGTGTGTTGTTCATCGTCCATATGGAGCAAATTAGAGAGAGAAGGAGGGGAGCTGCCACTGTTTCTGATTGGTTACGGTAGTATTAAAAAAAATTGACTTGCCCCGCTCTAGAGAAGAAAGATGGATAAAATGCTCTTTGAACACACTAGTCTTTTTTTTTTTTAATGTCGGTACAGAAGGGTTGCATTTATATTTGGCTTTCCAGACCTGTCTCTTGACCTTCTAATTACTTTATTTGAAACAGCACTGAGGGTATAATAAACCTGGAGGTTGCCTCTCCTTTGCTTTATCATAAATTAAAGCTGCTGGTTTGTTGAGGTGAAAGTGGAGGCAGAATGTTCATTACTGCTCAAGTGACGGCTTGTCAATAGCAGTGCTTTTTAGTTTGTTCTAGTCAGCACTTGCTGTGCATTTTGTTGGGCCACTGGGAAATAAATACAACAAGATTATACGTTTGGAATACCACAAGAGTTCACGGAAAAAAAAAACACAAATGATAAATTATACACTTGGTAGAAAGTGACATGCTATCTTGTGCTATTAACAACCAAAGATAATTGCAACGAATTGTAATTGCAGTTTGCAACTTACAGTACAGTGTGTCCAACATCAATCTTAATAGTGAACAAAGCAATTTATATTAAAACTTAATTCACTTGGTAACTTTCTGCTGTATACACGGGAGCTAACAGATGTAGCTTTTCAGAAAGTTCAAAGGCATTTGGAACGTGGCAAGAAATGCTAATGCAGTAAGCCTTGGAGAAATATTGCATTACTACTTGTAATGAAAACAAATGTATGTCATTATCTCCTACTTTGTGTTTATTTAATAAAATATGCAGTTTGCATGTTGGTGAATTCGGTGTTTCTGAATGGATATGGAATGATGTTCTATTTGGAATCAAAGGCCAAACAGGACTAGCAATTATGCATCGAGTATAAATAGTCTGCTTTACTATTTTAGTAGCATGCCCCTTAATGCTTCAGTGGGTTTTGTATGAAGTGTAACAGCAAACTGGAGTAACTTTATTCATGACTTTCCTTAGATTGGATGTCTTTGAAGCAAGAAAGGGAGATCTCCTGGAATTACTTAAGAGAACAAGCATATTTGTTTTGTGAGCTTGACTGATGGCCAGTAGAGCAGTTGAGTGAAATCTCTAAACTGATTAGGGCTTTAGTTCAAATAATCTTCTACCTTTTTCATTAATTTATTCCTTAATGCTATTTTGCTGCTCTTCTACCAAGGATAATAATCTCACACTCGCTGACCTCCATGAGTGGATGACCTGGAGCCCATAACTAATCTTATTTACTCTCCTGACCAGCCGAACTTCATTTACCTTGACTGGATAAAGAGCCTTGCGTTGCTAAGCTTCCCCTCCTTCGTAGCTTTCTAGTTAATCTACAGTGAAGGCAAGATGATAGGCTTTCCCAGTCAAGATCCAGAAGCATCTGGGGACAGTGGAAACTTCAGGCCATTTCTCTTCCTTTCTTGAGTCCCACTCTCCTAACGCAAATTATTTTCGGTTTGAAAGTCAATTTCCTGCCATGGGCTATATGAATACATTGTTGAATTTAGGCTTGATTGTTGAGTTATGCATGCATATAATTTTATATCCTGCTTTTTTATTTAATACCAAAGTGTTTCCCATGTTGCTTCATAATTTAATACTTATGCATTTTAATGACAATAATTCATTAAGTTTGTATACCGTTTTTTTTTCCTAATCATTCCCTATTATTAAAAAGTTGGGTTACTTCTGCTTAGTTTCACTGTTACAGATATTGCTGCAATAAAAATTTCTTTAGATTTTTTTCATTTAGATTTTTTTTTCATTGTTTCTTTGGAAGACGTTATTACAAGTGTAATTTTAAGCAAAAGATGTAACATTTGTCATCCTTAAAATTGTCTAACTGATTCCTCGGACGGTGGTCAAAAAAAAGCCATTTGTGTGGCTTTTTGCCCTACATTACTAAAATAGGTTCCTGGACTAGTTTATAGTAGTTTATATTACTTCCAGTAGTATTGCTGGAATATATAATTTTATCACAGTAACATTGAGATTTATCCTGATTCTTTCATTTATAATCTAAATGGTATTGGGCAAGTTACTTAACCCCTCTGCCTCATCTGAACCTCCTTATTCCCCACCTGAAGGAAGGGGATAGTAACTCATGGATCATTACAAGTATTGTATTACTTTTTATATATATAATATTCGGGGAATAGTGTCTGCCACATAGGAAGCACTCAGTAAAGATTAGCTGTTATTATTCCTACTATAATTTCATTTTTCTCTTAATTTAGTATCACTTTCTATTTAAGTTGCAATTTTTAAAGGAAATGTTGGAGTAGTCCGTTGAAGCTAAGTAGTCAGTAGATGGCATAAGCAACTCCTACTTGTATGGAGTAAGAATTTTACAATGCTTAGGCACAGTAAGCCATTAGGTAGAACTCTGCAGTGAGCATTCTCGCCATAAAGTAGAGGCTTTCAGAATCCCCTTCTCTTACATTTAATAAGCTCCTTCTCTTATTTATATATGATAGGGGTACCTGGGGGGCTTAGTTGGTTAAATATCCAACCCTTGGTTTTGGCCCAGGTCATGATCTCACTGTTGTGAGATAGAGCTCCAGGTTGGGTTTTGTGCTGAGCATGAAGTCTGCTTGAGAGTCTTTCGCTCTCCCTCCCTCTCTGCTCCTCCTTTTCCATCTCTTTCTTTCTCTCTCAAATAAATAAAACTAAAAAGAATAATAAATGGCTCTGATTTCCAGAACAACCTAGATGGGCCTCAAAGCCTTGGGGTTCTAGTTTACTGATCCTGGGATTCTCATATTCAGAACCCAAGTCTCCCACTTTTAGGAACCAGCCTCTGCATTAAATAATGGCAGTTATTTGTTGGTCTTTAAGTAAGACAAAGAACTGGTTTCCTGGATTTCTTAATTCTGGAAAATTGACTTCAAATTTTAAAATTTTCAAAGAAAAACTGTAACTAATTGTATTATTCCATGAGATGATTTTGATGAGATGCATCTGCTGTACATGACTGAGTTGAGAACGGCACCTTCCAAAGTGTAGAGTTGGAGCAGCGTGCCCTGGGCGAGCACTGAGCCCCTGGGTAGTAGCTGCTCCAGGTAGGGGCTAGAGATTACTTTCTGAAGACCTTCTTTTAAACAAAAGGAATGTGGATGCCTTATGTTCCCTCCTGGGAATAATTTCTGTGTTAGAATTCTTTGGTTGCAAGCAACAGAAAGAAATACTGGCTAACTTGCAGGATGGGTGTGGAAAGCAAGAGAGTGGGAGGATCTCTTTTGGGAAAGTAACCTGGAAGAGTAACTCAGCTGGAGAGGCAGCAGTGCAGCTCTGAGGATCCAGGCAGGAGGAAAACACAGATACTCATCAGGGTACTGCTCTTGGAAAGAATATGCTCTATCTACTCAAGAATCAGAGTCTAACAGGGCCCAGCCTAGATCCCATGCCCGCCTCTTCGGTGGAAGAGGCCGCAGCACTTTGGTGACAGTCCCACTAAAGATGGCACACTCCTGGGGGAAGAAGTTTCCTTATACAAGATTGGAATCCTCGTCTTCGATGAAAGGGGAATGAAGGCTGGGCCACTAAGGTTAACAAAGTTACACTGCATTTCTTAAAAGACTATAGTACTATTGTAATTCCTCAGCAGTAATGATTAGGAAAACAACTAAATGGCTTACAAAGACCAGGAAGTAATTGGATCACTCAGGGGCCGTTGCCTAGGACATTAGCCCTGGAAGTAACTAATTTTTTATTACTCAGGATGACATGAAGGGCCCACATCAAAAGGCATTTTGTAGGAGAAATGTCTCCCATTTGGCTGCAAATATCACAGACCTGAATGACAGTGGCTTCAACCTCAGAGGGATTTCTGTTTCCTTCATGGGAAATAAATCCACCAAGAATAGGGCCATTATGATGGCTGCACCGCACCACCAATGTTCACGGCTCCTTCAGTCTTTCTGCTCTGTCCTCCTTTTGGCATGGCTTCTCCCTGCAGGTTTCCTTCACCACTGTGAGAGAACCACAGTAGCTACTTACATTACTGGTAAGGAGGAGGAAGAAAGGGAGGGAAAGCAAATGTGCCTGGCCCTTGAGTCACCCCCCTCCCATTGGAAAGACCTTCCCCAGAAGCCCTACCCAGCAGTCTCCTCCTGAATCCCATTAGCTAAAAGGTAGTCACTTAGTCACCCCTTTTGATAAGGAAACAGGAATATTTTTCAGCCAGGTGCATTGCTACTCCTGGCAAAACCAGGATTCTGCAAGGGAGGGAGAAGAGGAGAGCAGATGTTAGGAAGGCAACCAGCAGCTTCTGGCACGGCCCCCTTACCGAAGTGGACAGTCTTCAGCCCCCAGGACTCTCCTGCCAGTCCCGGCATTACCTATGAGCAGCCAGTACACTGATAATGCAGCATTTTCTAGGGTAGGGAGAGAAGTGAGTGGATTGAATGATGAAAACTTTAGGTCATTAAATAAAGTTCCAACATTTTCTTCTTGCCCAAAACAGTCACAACAAACTCTGTGGAACCGAAATCGAAGGGAAATGTGCCATGCCATTTTTCTTTAGCCTTTTTGCAATGCAACAGGACAATCAATACAAATCTTTGCAGTAATCATATATTGATTTTCCTAGAATATAACTCCATTTAAAGCACTTTTATCCCCAAGAGTAGAAACATTGGAGGCTATCAAAGAAGGAAGTAGGTTTCCTTGACCCCATCTGCAGTGCACAATTGATTAACAGAGGATAGTTATGAGAGAGAGAGAGAGGGAGAGACAGAGAGAGGGAAGAGAGAAGTCACCGAAAGGTTAATACTAGCTAAAGAGAAACATGATTATAGGACATTAGGCTTTTGGTAAAATCCTAAGGTCGGCAAAAGATAATGATACCATCTAAAATTGCATGAGATTTTGAGTACTTCGCATACTCTTTGCTGTGCCTCCCCACACCCCAACAACAACCACAGCTGAATTTGGGGGATCCACAAAGCTGTGAATGCGCGGGGACTGATTGATGCATTTAGGTTCAGGGCTGATAAGCTGGCTTGATAAAGGAAAGAGTGATACTGTTTCAGTTTTCCCTGAGTCATGTAGTCATTAAGCACTAAAACTCAAACTTGTATATCTCTCAGATTGAATGTTTCTTGGCTTTCAGACAAAGCTCAAAGAAGAAAATATTTTATTGATTCACTTTTTAAATTTTTTTAAAAGAATATTTTTAAAAATTCTCATTCTTATTGTTTTGTAAGAGGACAAAACCCAAGAGCCCTGCTCCATTCCCTCCTCCCCCTTATCATTTCAACCCCCAAGGATAACCAAAACAGCCCACCTTCCGCAAATCCCAAGAGTTTAGGTCTGCTGCTGACTATTTCTGTGCGCAGATGTCTTCATCCCAGAGACAAGGGGAGTAATTGGATGGTAACGTTGAGAAAGACATGCCGGTTCTGCTCTGGCTCTGGCTCCAGAGGCTGGGATGTCGCCAAAACCGAGGGTGACGCCTCCCAAAGCAGTCCCAAGTTAGCCTCCTAACTGCACTCCTGGAAAAGGCCAGAGGGTGCCCTGGCGTCCACTTGTTCACAGTGTATTGTTCTCGGCGTATTTCCCTAAATCCCTCTTGTTTTTTTGTATCAAGGCTGGGGCTGCACAAACAAGCTCTTCACTAAATTAGAAGGTGTGTGCAGCCTCATTATCCCTCTCAATGTGTTGTACTTGATACTGTTTATTTTACCAGCAATTTCGGTCGTTTGTGTTTTGCTTTGTTCCCCCCCCCCTTTCTTTTTTTCTTTTTCTTTCTTTCTTTCTTTCTTTCTTCTTCTTCTTCTTCTTCTTTTTTTTTTTTTTTTTGGCTTCAGGCAAAGCAACTAGTACACATTGTCAGATAAAGTATCTTATCTGTCAGCAGCACCCTTGTGAATTAATCATAATTCAATAGGCTTACTAATCAAGATTTGAGATGAATGTTTTGATAGAGCAATCAGATTTGTCTAATCTATCATTAGTTGACAGTCGCTGCAGGCAGAGTGTGAACTTGGCAATGGTAGACCTGTTTCTGATCCCTTTGGCTGGGCCCACCGGTTGGGTAGCATCACCAATGGTAGCTGTGGATGCAGGCCTTGCAACCAATTAAGTTCCGTTTCTCACTACCCCCCAGTCCTCCCTCCCCTCCCACCAGTTTGCAGAACAGGTTGGGTGGAGATCTCTGGTGAACCTCCTGCCCACATGATCAACAGATTGGAGGACATGGTGTTCCTTTTGTCATTTTCACCTGTAAACAAAGGTGTGCCACTCCAAGTGATCAATCTCAAGGATGATTTATGGTGTCACTTGCAAATAGTGGTCAGAGAAAAAAAATAAACATAACAGATTATTAAACGTTATTGATTACAACTCTTACTACGTCGCATGCCTCTAAAATCTATGCCCCATTTGACAAAGTTACACATTCTTGGGAATTTACAGCATAGCTTAGGCATTTATTCAATTTGATTGTATAAATGGAAGAAAGCTCTTGTTGTAGATGAATATTTCATTGTACATAATGTCTCAAAATCTGGATAAAATTCTGAAATAATAAGTTACACTATATATATTACATGGTAGTCACGAATACATTAGTGTGAGAAAATTAGGGATAGGGTTATTTTATGGAGGACTCTTTAACCAGTCTCTTCCTTCTCCTCCCAGGTTTATATTAGCATAAAGATATTTCCTCATTATAGAAAGCTTAGATAATTCCAGACAAATCTAAGGGGGAAAAAAAAATCTAAATTTCCTATAATTCCATCAACTCAGAGTTCATCAATATTAATATTTCACCCTATTAAAACTAAATAGGTAACAGACAAATACCTCAGTGGGTGATTGCTTGACACTGTCATCTACAAAATACAGCTCTACGTGGCATGCTGTTGTGGCATCTGTGGACCACACCAGACGAATAGCCAGAGGAGTGCAGGAAGATGCTACTTCTCTCAAGATTTCCATTTCTGCGAGAAAAGCATATAGGGAAACTCACTTCGGCTGTTAGTGTGTCTAACGTGTTGGAAGTGACAACTTTTCGATTTCACAGGCGTGTCACAATCCTTACTAAATGAATGCTTGCCACACTTTGAGAGATTTGTAGCTTGGGCGATTCAGACAAGGGACAGCGGAGAGTTACCTAATTAGCCTACAGGTGTAATTATGTAAGGCATTCCAGGCAGTAGTGCGCTGTGTGTTAATTAGCTTTCATGCCGAACATGCAGTAGCCCCTGAACAAAGAATGAATGGTTCACAGATGAAGAAAAGCTGCTCATTTTGCCCTAGCTTTAGTCTTCTCCTTCTAAAGCTTCCTTCCCAGCCTCTTTTTTTTCTCAAGTCAACACATGAGGCATATGAGCAAGTTACTTTGCAAATAGCTCATCATCTCTCCCCATAATTCCCCTTCTACTTTCCTGCATAATTCCAGCACACTCTCTGGAATGATCTTTTACGTAACAAAATGTGTCTGTATTTGCGTATGTATTTATCTGTCACAGGTTTGTAAAATGCGTATGATTTCCAGCCGTGAGTTTTTGGCTCTCCGTGAAACTCCACAGGTCTCTTGTGGTGAAGACAGGAATGTCATTCACCGTCCACAGGAGTAGCTCACATCCCGTCAGCCATCTTGTTTCCTAGTTGCTCCCGTCCATTGTCCATTCCTGTCTCTAAGGAAGACAAGGGAAAAGGCACCGGTTAAAGAAGATTCTTTCTTCTAGGAAATTAATCCATGGCTTCATTTGTGCTGGTTTCTGCTGTCAACTGCTGCCCGAGTTCTTGACTAATGTATTAAAGTAAATGTTGCAACTCCATATAAATCAGCTCTGCACACTTGCATGAGGAAACACTTGAGGTCATCAAATAAGCACTGTACGTGGATAGTGGTCAAGTGATTTTCCAGTCCTTTCCCAGTTCTCAGGTGGTGAGATCCCATTCTGAGGTTCTCTGCTCCTTCTAATCCTGCCTCCTTGGCATCTCCCTCTGCCTTCATTTTGCTACTAATGCACTCTAGAATGATACACAGGACCACTCTGTTCCTACAGGAGATGAATGTTCTAGAATTCTACTTCTAAAATTCTATCTACACTAGCATGAAATTAACATAGATCAAGGAATTGCCAGCAACATTTAGATCGAATTCAATACGCTTTTTTATTCCAGTACCTCTTTACCAGTTATGAGAAAGAAATGTTTCCATTTTAGTACTAGTACTAATAAGCAGGCTCAGTTTTTATTGTCTTATTGGAAGAAAAGAATAATAAAAACTCTTGTTGTATGAAAAGCATTATTTCAGAGCTCTGTGACATTATGGGAAAGGCCTTCAAGTTGATGCCACTCTAGTGAGGATAAGGGACATTTGAACAATTTCAGTGCTACCTTTGCATAATTTTCAGTTGGATATCTAGTGGAACTCTGTCTTCATTGTCATTCCCCACCACCCAATGTGGATTAGGTCAGGCCCTCATAGTCAAAACCAGTGCAGCCACTTTTGACCAATCACTTGCTTTATGCATCAGGAATCCAGAGTAGTCTCAGACATAATTCCTCTTCCTAGAGAATTCACTATCTGTATGTGAAGATGAAACATTCAATACCTGAAAAGTAAAAACCCCAATAAAGAATCTAAATTACAGTTTGAGACAACACTGGGGAAGAGAGGTCACATGGCTACATGTGATTGTCTTGTCATTGACAGATTTCTTGTAGAAGGAAAATGTTCTCCATGTAGGGGCTCATAGACACCAGTTGTGAATTCTGAACTGAAGTATTCTGTAAAAAATGCTTTTCAATTTTGAAATGGCAGTGCAAAAGAAAAACCTGGTCTATGTAACTGGTAAAGCAATTATTTTAGATTATTATTGAAATAAAGGCATAAAATTGAAAAGTTCTCATAAAATTCATGGACTTCTGAGAAAATGCCAGTGCATCTCACAGACCCAGGGTAGGTGGTAATTTCATTAATCAGTTCCAAATTCAAATGTAAGTTCATTTCAATCTACATATGTAAGATCTAAGGGAAAAGAGAAATTTCAGGTAGGGTAAGATGTAGACAGCTGTATAGGAAGAGGTCTTTTCAATTAGATAGAATTTATTATGAGGGTCAGAATAAGATAGTATAAACCAGGTTCCATGTGTTAGACTTTCTGACTGAAACAGAATGTTCAAGAAACTTAGAACAAATATGTGGGGAGTAGTAAGAGATGCCTGAATTCTGAGAAGCCTTCAAGGGTTTCCAAAGCTGAGAAGTGACATGATGCCAGAGATACTTTAGGGAAGAATAGTTTGGGGGCAGGACGGGCATAGATTTGGGTTCTCATTTAAAGGGTTGTATTTGGGATCCCTGGGTGGCGCAGCGGTTTGGCGCCTGCCTTTGGCCCAGGGCGCGATCCTGGAGACCCGGGATCAAATCCCACGTCAGGCTCCCAGTGCATGGAGCCTGCTTCTCCCTCTGCCTGTGTCTCTGCCTCTCTCTCTCTCTCTCTCTCTATCATAAATAAATAAAAATTTTAAAAAAAATAAAAAAAAAAACAAAATTCTAAAAAATAAAAAAATAAAAAAAAAAATAAAGGGTTGTATTTAAAGAGAAGTCGTGTTCCTGAAATGAGGTGATGTGGGCATGCATTCAGGCACAGCAGAGATAACGGAAGAGAACGTATGAATTTCAGAGGACCTCCAATGTAAGAGAACTTCATAACCAATTGGTTATGGGGATGAGGAGGAAAGAGTCAAGGGTGGTACTCTGATTTCAAACTTGGAAGTAAATGGCCGTTTGGTGGGAATGAGGGTGTGCTCCACCACTAGTGGAAGTAGAGGGGAAGTTTTAAGGATCCAGCCCCATGTGTAGCTCTGGGGGAGACCTGAGATGCAAAGAAAGAAGCACAGCTTTGGCATCTTCCTGGCTGTGAAAATCACAGAGTTATCCTGGGAGGGATTGTTTGATCTTTGTGTCAACTCAGTGGCCTCAGATATAATCATACCTAAAGTACAAAGCCAGTAATTGAAAGAAAAAAGATCTCCAAATATTTTGGGGATTCTGCAATTTTATAGTGGGTTAGTAATCACCTTGACTTTCTTCTTACAGGGCTTGTAGTTAAGGGCTTGTTCATGCCCTCACCAATAGACAGCCGGATTTCTCCTTTGTTTTATTTAGGTTAAAAGACTTTTACATCACCTTGGTTTTCAGAAACTGACAAACTGCCAGTGGCCCGTCAATTGCAGACTGACTTTTTTTTCACCTGCTCACAGAGATACTATTGTCTTCCGAGAACTAGTGCTTTTCTTCAGTGATGTGACTAAGCCTATGTAATCTTTGAAGAATTGGCCGCTTTATACCTAACAGAGAAATGAAGGTGAGGCTGTGGAGCTGGGAAATCTCAGGGCAACACCCTCAAGTGTGAAGTGTGAGGGAAACTGAAGC